TTCCTTCCTTCCTTCCTTCCTTCCTTCCTTCCTTCCTTTCTCTCTCTCTCTCTTTCTCTCTCTCTCTCTCTCTTTCTGTTTTAAACACAGGTGAAATAGAGAACATGAAGGCATCCTCCTCTGTGTCCACAGACACTGTTTCAGGTAAGGCATTTATTATTTTCTCATTAATGATGATGTTAATTATCAATTTCTGTACTTATGAATAGGCATTGGGTTTTGTCAAATGCTTTCTCTGTTCCTTTTCAGGTGAATCATGTATTTTTATTTCTATTCAGCTAATATACCTAATATACTGTGTATGTCCATAGAGTAAGACACATTTATTTTAATTTTAAGTGGCACCCCCAAAATACAGCTGGCTGTATTAGTTTGCCAGGACTGCTATAACAAAATATCCTGGGCTGAGGAGACTAATCAAAAGAAATTCATTTTCTCGAACACATGGAGGCAGGAGCTCAAGTCAAGGCGTCATCTGTGTCGTTTCCTCATGAGGCTTTTCTCCTGATTGTGCAGATGGCCACCCTGTCACCATGTCCTCTCATGGTTGCCCCAAAGTCTGTGTTTTCATGCTCTCTCTTTACAAGAACATCAGTTAGTTACATTAGATCAGGCCCCAGCAAGCTGACCTTTCTTTACCCTAATTCCCTCTAAATGGTTTTAACTCCAAATATAGTTGCATTCTGAGACGCTGGGGCTTGAACTCCAAATGCGGGATTTGGGGAGTGGAAGACACAATTTAGTCTATTAACATCGCATTCTGATTTATCTACAGATGCTATATGCCTTTTGCATGTACATTGACCAACTTTTTTCAGGTTGAGAAAATTCTTTTGAAATCTTACTAAGCCGAATCATATTTAGCAGGGATAGATGTCAGATTTCATCAAATACTTTATATGCCCACTTTACAAACCCAGACTGTTACGTTTGACTGCAAGCACACTTTCTGGCTGAGCCATCTTGGTGGCCCACGTTATCCTTGGCCTTTTGATTGGTTTACAGTGCCAGGCCTGGATTCTCATCTGCAGAGTGGGTCTGAGGTCCAGTGAGAAAGCAGTTGGTTATCTTCATAGGTCTTGAGACTATTGTACCAACGGGCAATCTTGCCTGGCATGAGGTAGCAACATTTCTTTATTAATTGCTTGGTTGAATTCTCTAATCAAATCACCTGGGCCCGAGGTGATTACAATTCAATTTCTTAAGTACATACAGGGCTATTTGTGGTATCTGTTTTCTTCTTGGATCTATAGAATTTCTGCTTTTACTAAACTTAGAGTTTTGCCATGGGGTCTTCAAACTTTCCCTCTCTGTCTCCTGCCTCTTCTTGTTTGTGAATTCCACATCACATATACTAGACAGTTTCTATCTGCGGCATCGCTCATTGGTGCTTCATTTGTATTTTAAAGAAATCTCCAAATTTCCCTTTAAAATAATTTCTATAACTTTCAACTCACCAGTGTATGTTTCCTTCTATGTGTGATTTGCTGTTAGTCCTCTCTGGATTGCTTTTTGTCTCACACATTGTGCTTTATCTCCACATGTTTTATTTGTGTCTTTTAATATTTATTATGTCTCTACTTAATATTTTAAACATATGGATCATGCTTGCATTAACTCTTACAATGCCCATATCTAATAATTTTACCCATAATCTGTGTCATTTTTTTAAAAAAGATTAAGGTTCTATTTTCTCATTGTAAGTTATATTTTCCTCCTACCTTCTATGCTTGAGAAACTTGGACTTATGCCAGATGTGTGTTTGAGTTGTTGCACCTGGCAACTCACATTCACTATCACTGTCACATGCTCTTGACAGTTACTCTAGGGTTAAGTTGCATGGACACACTGGTCCTTTGGAACTATATTAGGAGGTGTTAGTTGCTGGGTTGTACACAGTGCTCATTGTAGGGTTGTTTTCCACACAAGCCTTTCATGTACTTTTTAAAAAAAATTTACTTAAAGTTTCCCAATCTTAGGCGAACATGTATTACTGTATCTGTTGTGAGCACTGAACGTTGTTACCACAGAGTAACATTTCCCATCTTTAGGTAGTTACATCCCACCTACTTATCAGTACTTCTTTAAATATATAGGAAGGATGCATTATTATGGATCCCCTGGATTTTTTTTTTCTGTGCAATTCTTTGCTCATTAGTATTCTGTAGCAAGCTTTTGCTGCCTTGATACCCAGGATCTACCCCTCTCTCCATGGTTCACCAGGGTTTGTTAGCCTCTGCCCTCTCACTGGACAATCTCAGCAGAGTCCACTCTGAGGGATTGTGGTATCTCTCTCTCCCCATCTCCGAGAGCCCTGGTTTTCAGACCACTGTGCCTTCTTCCTCTTGTCCCCTGTAGCACGGTCACACAGTAATATATATATATATATATATATATATATATATATATATATATATATATCCTCATGCCTCCTCAGCATCACAACTCTCGTGCTGTGGGGTCCTTATGTAATTAAGAATTATTTGAATACAGGCACTATGATACTTCAGTGATCTATTTGATAACCAAGAGGGCTATTTTACGCCTAATCAGACAGTAGCATATGCCGTGTGGCTATGCTAGACAAAGAAATAATTTGTGTTTCAGGCAGGTGACATTAGATTTCATCACTCCACTTAGAATGGTATAATGTTCAAAGTTTTAGGAACTGTGTATTTATGGAATTTTCTATTTAATCTTTGCATACTATAGTTGGTCATAAGTAATTAAAATTGGATAGCAGAGAAGACTGCACGTTAACACACACTTATACAGAACCCATTACATACCGATGCTTCCCTGATGCTTTACATATATTATCGTATACATTCAATTTAATAGTCCTAGAAGGTCACTCTTCTCTTTTGCTTTCTTTTCAAAATATTTGCTTATTTATTATTTTATATGTTTGTGCTGTGTGCATGCAAGAGCTTGCAGAGGTCAGAATAGGGTATTGGAACCCCTGGAATTGGAGTGACGGGCGCTTGGAGGCTGCCATGTGGGTGCTGGGATCTGAATCCAGATCCTCTGCAAGACAGGTAAGTACTCATAACTGCTGAGCCATCTCTTCAGCCCCTGAACTTGTGTTTTCAAGTGAGGAAACAGAAAAAGAAAGGTCAAAAAGACTGCTCAGAAACGCAGAGACAGAATTTGAAGTGAGGAGCACTGATTTCAGAATCTGAAGCCTGAGCATTATTCTGTTCTGTTAATAAGTGCCGAGTCAGTTGACAGGTGGCCGGACTTACAAGGAAAATGAGAACAACTGGGATCACAAAGTAATGGAAGAAGCTGTGTGTGTGTGTGTGTGTGTGTGTGTGTGTGTGTGTGTGTGTGTAGTGGTAGGGTGAAGAGAAGCTTAATTTGGGAATTTGTGAAACACATCTCTAAATGCCTTCAAGTATCAAAATTTGTGATTCTTCTTGGGGGGGGGTTCAGTTTTTAAATTATTTTGTAAATTTTTGAGATTATAATTACCTCATTTCCCTCTTCTCTTTCTTCCCTTCGAGTCCTCCCACCTACCTTCCTTGTTTCCACTCAAATTTGTGACTCCATTCTTGTTTTCAGTTGCTGCGGGAGGGGTGAAGCTCTTTTCTGCAGCCTTTATAATCTGTTTTGTAGTGTAAGGGAAAGCGCTGCTGGGTGTGCGTAGGCTTTTTAATCCATCTTCCAAGCACACGTGGCGGGTGTGTCCTGCTTTTAAGGCTGCAGAGAGCAAACAAAAGAGGCTGGGGAATTGTGGGAAATCCACATTTACATCCTGTTGATAGTCATTTTGTACATTGTATGAAGGTGTGTCTCTGCCTTACCTCACCTGCCTAAGGCACCTTCTGATTGGTTTAATAAGAGCTGAATAAAAATAGCTAGGCAGGAGAGGTTAGAGAGATTTTCCACGCAGAGATGGAAACTCTGGTGAAGAATCTGAGGCAGGGGATTTGCCAGCTAGACATGGAAGAAATTGTATGCACAGTACTGTGGTGAGGTAACGAGCCACATAGCAGAAGATAGATTAATATAAAGGGGTTAATTTAAGTTTTAAGAGCTAGTTGGGAACAAGCCTAAGCTAAGGCTAAGCTTCCATAATTAGTAAAAAGTCTCCATATCTTTATTTGGGAACTAGCAGTCCAAAGAAAGTCTGACTATAACATCCCATTGTTTTTTAACCACAGACATTGCTCAATTGGGCTTCTGTTTCCTCTTTTTTTTTTTTTTATCACTATAAAAAGCATTACATTCTAAAAAGCATTAAACTCACAACATGAAAAATTGTCCTAAATGAGTGCAAATGTCCATATATCTAATGGCTTCCATTGCTTAAAGGTTAGTGATCAAGCTTAAAGTTGCCTGATAGCTAACAGACTTTTGTGGTGATATTTTATTTGTGCTGAAATACAGACCTTCTTCTCACTTAACACTCAAGTCAGTTCTGGGAACATCCTTGACCCGTTGGACACCGGAACAGATAGGATAATTCACTATAAACAAGGGCGGTGGACGAGGAGAGATGCAGATGCAGGAACCAGGAGGCCGATACATTCAGGAGAAAGGGAAAGGCAGAGAGACTGCAGGAAGGCGAGGCCTCCTGACTCAGTTCCATGTAACCTTTACAAGTGAGAGAGAGAGAGATGAGAGAAAAAACAGAAGTCAGGCTATTTATTAGCAGCCTTAGCAGTTTCTCATTGAGCCACACGTGTGGTGTTTAGTGTTCCTAATGAGTTTCACTAGGGTTATTTTTACATTTGGGGACATCTGTGGAGTGGTAAATGTGTTCCTAAATATTAGTTAGAATTATAAGGGAATGTGTTTGTATTTGGTACCAGGTTTTGGACTAATATTATTAATCAATGATTCAATTATACATGGTTTCCATTCCTCTTCACCTTTATCCCTAAACAAAGAGATGACCATATCCACTGTCTAAACCTAGGAGGATTTATCAGTTTTTATTTTATTTTTTAAACTTTTGTTCAGATTTTGTCACTGTCCCTATACCAGTTAGGGCCCGGTATTTTTAAGAATGGCGCAATACACCAGCCAGAGAGCATCTTATGTAAATGCAGCATCTGCTAGGTGCCCAAACCATCTTAGTCTTTTCCTGTCTTCCCCCTCACTGTTTTCTGATTCCCTGCCTTTCTGAGTCCTCCTTTCTTCCAGGGTCAATAGCAGGCTAGGGGATGAAGTAACATGCCTGTGGCTGAGAGGCCAGTGCACCGGATTCAATCCTCCTGCTCAGGCTTCTTGTTGAGAAAGCAGTGGTCAGACAGACCCCCGGAGACCTCAGCGAGCGATAACACCCTACGAGTTCAAGAGCTTTGACTCTTGAACTATGCACGAAAATGTACTCTACTTACACTCACAAGGGCGTTTTGGTTTTTGTCCTTCTCAAAAGCAGGCTGTGATCTGAGCTCTTTGCCACTGGAACCTATGAGAGGATTCCCTTAAATACAGATTCACGGAACGTGTAGGGTGCTCAGCTGAGTTAGAGAACCCGGGCAGTTAGCTTCCAGAGTGTTTGATTACTCAGTTGCAACTCCATGGAGAGATCCTGGATCAGCATTGATAAGGTGGGCTGTCACCAGAACTTCAGAATTCGTTCTCCTGAAGAATTTAGATAATTATGTCCCATTTCCTTGGGAAAAGTGAATACCTTTGAAAAGTAGGTTGAAAAATGAACCTGCCCATGACACCCATGTTTAATGCTTGGAAACAGTTCAGAGAAACAAGAGAAACTTGGCAGAGGGAGCTGAGATGGGAGTCACCCTGAATTTGCCAGTGCAAAGTATACTTATTCACAGGAGCCCTTGTTCAAGGAAGGCTGGAGATTTGGAGTAAGGAAATGACCGAAACAGAGAAACATTTGAAGATGCCACACTGATGACTTTGAAGAGGGAGGATGAAGTCATGAACTAGGGAAGTGGGAAGCCTCGAGAACCTAGTAAAAGTAAGGAAATGGAATTTCCTTCTAAAGCCTCTATAAGAACTTAGTAGTGCAGGATATAGGTGATAAGAAATGGGGGACAGAACAATGGGGAGGAGGCTCCAGTCGGGGACAGGGAGGGAGGTCAATACAGCGGGAGAAGGAGAGACAACAACATCAAGGCCATTTGATAAAGCTCCAAAGAAACACACTATTTTATGTATATTTCCCAAATTATGCACTACACATGTGCGCACACACATGCACACACACAGTACACATAATACATTCAGGAAAACTCTGATACACATGAATTAATAAATTTAAAAAGAAAGTGCTTGCTAAACAAGCACAGGGTCTTGAGTTCCAGTCCTAGCACCCTTAGAAACAAAGCTGGACATGACCCTGTATCCCTGTCATCTCAGCACTGAGGGGACAATGAGGATTGCTGGCCACTGGCCCAGTTCCAGGTCCAGTGAGAAACCCTTGTCTCAAGGGAATAAGGTGGAAATGATGATAAAGTAGGAAAACTGGCATCCTTCTATGGCCTCTCCCTTGTACCTGTAAATGTACACATCCCACATACATACATCACACACACACACACACACACACACACACACACACACACACACACACACACACACAGCACTCAAGCATGCACACATACAAAGTAAATGAAGAAATAATTTAAAAGAAGAGAGACTCCAGTCATTCATCTGGAGAAAGTTGTTTGTTGAGCTGCTCAGTACTCTGCAGCATGGACCTTTTATTGCTTCTATATCTTAGCAGAGAACAAATAATTAGAAGTTATAGATAAGCCTTGTTTTATATCTTGAGTTTTAACCATGCTGAAAAGACTTTTCCACGTGTTTGGTGGCATCCCTGTTTCTCTGAACATTTGCATCCCCGCCTTTCTTTGCCTAGCCTGATTAAAACAGCATTAAAATAATTGTGGGAAGAAGTTGGATGGCAGAAGGAAAAATAAACACAATTAAAAGATTTTGATTCAGTATGACATATGTTTATGAAACTTCTGGGTCCAGACCAAATATATATCTTTGTCAACAGTTTATTTTAGCTTATTGAAAATCTATAGGTTAAGCAATTAAAAAAAAAATCATGTTTTTTTTCCCAGATGTGGTGGCACACACCTTTAATCTCAGAACTTGAGAGGCAAAGGCAGGAGGATCTCTGTGAGTTCAAGGCCAGCCTGGTCTACAAAGCGAGTTCTGGGACAGACAGAGCTACACAGAGAAACCCTGTCTAGAACAACCAAAAAATATATTTTGTTTTTGTTGAGACTAGGTCTTACTGTGTTTCCTGGTGTCTTAGTTATTTTCTGTTGCTGTGAAAGACACCATGACCAAGGCAATTTATTTGTATCGGGATTTACAGTTTCAGAGGGCAAGTCCATGACCTTCATGGCAGGGAGCATGGCAGCAGAGAGGCAGGCATGGCGCTGGAGGAGTAGCTGAGAGCTTACATCCTGATCCACAAGAACGTGGCAGAGAGGGCTCATTGTGAAGGGCATGGGCTCTTGAAACTTCAATGCCTACCACTGACACACCTCCAATTAGGTCCTCCTAATTCTTCCCAAACAATTCCACCGACTAGTGACCAAGTATTCAAATATATGAGCCTATGGGGAATATCCCCAAACCATCACATCTAGGATAGCCTCAAACCCTCAATCCTCCTGCCTCAGGTTATTAGCTAGGTTTACAAGTGGACACTAACATGCCAAGCTAAGTAGTCTATTTTTTTTTTTTGTCTGTCTGTCTGTCTGTCAGGCTGAGTTAGAGTGCAGGAGCTGAATGCTGGGATTACAGATGTGTACTGCCAAACCCGGGTACATTAATTAATTCTTATGGTAGGACTAGATGAAAGGGTTGATAGGAGAGTCTTTCTTTATAATTCATTTATCTCCACAAGTTATTGATGTTTTTCTGTTGGCCTAGTGGATATATATGAATCTACTGATAGTGTAATTATTGTCTGTCGCCCCAGAGCCCCTCAGTCAGCACTGGCCCCTCAGGTGGTGGTCTGGTGGGGCGTATAGTCCTGCAACCCCCACTCTGCCACGGCCACGATATGTAGGTTTAAATTAAGTCTCTATCATTCTATTTAACAATAAGCCTAAGAAGTTGAAGCCTGGGGTGAAAACCTGCTAGCTCAGAGAGACTGAGTAGCAACTAGTTAACCTCTCTTCTTGGCCAGAGACAAGGCAAGAGACACGTCCCTTCACCTCATCCCAGAACCAAGAGGAAGCTCAAGCTCGGGTCCCCACCCTTTCCTTCCTGTGTATCTTCTCTATCCAAATTGCTGGCTTCTCTATGGCCAATTTTGGTCGGCCAGCCACTGGCTCCGGCCCCCTGATTCAAGGTAAAACTTTATTGGGCGGTCTGGGGAGTGTCCGTGGGATCAAAATATCCTACCACGAGTTATTCTTCACTTATTGATTTTACATTGGTGAAAAGCCTATTTTCACCTGTACAGTAAGCCATACCATGAGTCCCTCTAAAGGTGAGTTTCAGCTTACTCACATGAGGGTCACAGTCTTTCTACATGCTCATTCAAGTCCTCATGATTCCAGTTGCTGGTCTTTCTTTTTCTCCCATCTTCACTGCCATATTTTACAACTGTCAGCCACACCTACTGTATCTTTATTATTAATTCATCCAGCTTCTGTTACAAGGGGATCAGGCAGTCACTCCTTTTGAACGGTCACTTCCCTGCAAGGCTGGAAATGTTTGACAGCAGCAGCCATTCATCCCCCCACCCCAGCCTTTGTAAACACAAGTGTATGTACTGCTCTGCGGGCACCTTTTGTGACTCACTTTCTGCTTATTGGGGTTTATTTATTTTTTGATGGACTGGTATATTGCAAACCTGTGGACCTTGCCAGGTTTTCAGGTATCAGCTCAACAAGCCTCACTGGAAAGATCGCTTGGCACGGCAACACAGAGAATGCCCAACGATGCATCATATATTTTTAATAGATATATGTTTTAATAAACATTTGCCTCCTAAAGCAATGGATTTTCAAATAAGCTTTTGCCTTGAGCCATGTAGCTACCCAGCTGTGAGCTTTACAAGGCGGCAATCTCCACATCATTAGATGTTATGACTAATATCCCAGCAACTGAAATAATAGCTATTTACGTGCACATAAAAAGTTAAGATGACATTTAAGGTGTACTTCACTCAGGAAAGTGTGCTAGTAAAGCAGTGCCCTGGTTTGCTTGTTGACTTAAAGAGTTTCTTTGCAAAACAAAAAGCAAATTAGAAGACTGTCCTGGGTAGACACCTGATAGCTGACTAACCTTGACAGCAAGGGAAGGTTGCTCTGAGTCCCGACCTCACTGCCCTTGGAGGTCTCCACCTCAGGAAGATTTCAGTTGATTCATGAGCTGTATGCTCACAGCCTTTTGTATGTAGCCTCACTGTATCCCTTCAATTTTCTGTCCTGCTCTGATTTCTGCATGGAATTCATTTGCATCAGACATTTGGCGAGTTTGTTGTGAATTTTTCTAAAACAATTGAAAGTCACATTGTATACCTTACAGAAGTGGTTCTCAATTTGTGGGTCACAACCTCTTGGGAAGATCAAACGACCCTTTCACAGGGGTCACCTAAAGTCATCAGAAAACATAGATATTTACATTACGATTCATGTATGAAGTAGCAACAAGAATAACTTTGTGGTTGGGGGTCACCACAACGTGAGGTATTGTAGTAAAGGAAGCAGCATTAGGAAGGCTGAGAACCACGGCCTTGCAGCTTTCTGCCCTTTCTCTGGCCTTACCCCAACCCCCCTTAATCATCTGCCTCCCCTCTTTATGCACATTTCTCTCCCTGGTTACTCAGAACAGAGTTTGCCTCCGCCTTTCCCTGCTCTTGTCTCATCTCGTTTTCACTGTCAGTTACTTATCAAAGTTTCCAAGTCTAGGTGTTAATTTAAAGCATACAATAATCATTTTTCCATCTTATTACATGACTGAAGACTTGTTTTCTGTCCTTATTAAGTTTTTTTCCCATTGTAGCCAGTTAAGTGGACACTGATGAGACATTCAAGGTAAAACTTTATTGGGCGGTCTGGGGCGTGTCAGTGGGATCAAAATATCCTACAACGAGTTATTCTTCACTTACTGATTTTAAATTGGTGAAAAGCCTATTTTCACCTGTACATTAAGCAATACCATGAGTCCCTCTAAAGGTGAATTTCAGCTTACTTACATGAGGGTCACAGTCTTAAATGTTCTCTTGACTTTATCTTCTGGGCATATGCAGAAAGGAAGCCAAGGAGGAAGAGCAGCATAACAAGACCTTAGGACGGGCAGCTGTTGGAGAAGATGCCAGCCTTTACTCCTGTCTCTAATGCAATGTGAAGATGTTCAGCACAGATGAGATTTGCCTCTACACAGTCCAACGTGTGTAACTCCAGAACCTCATGAGGAAACAAAAGCAATATCATGCTTTTTTTTTAAAAAAAATTTTAAATCTCTATCATCCAAATGTCTGATGTGTGTTTATCTTCCTCTCGTGCTATTCTGGCTCCCTACTCAGGAACCTTGCACTTGGAAAATGTGGAACAGAGTAACTGCTCTTCTGCTTGCCACCTCTGGCTTCTCCCAGGTGATGTATCCAATTAGGAGAGTAAGATGAAGGTATTTGACGCAACTCTAAATTTTCTGTACATAAAAATTTAAAATACCTCTCAAGTATCTGATTGGACTCTGATTGTGCCAAGGATAAGCAATCTGCTCTTGGTTACATGACTTGGAAGACTGTACTGAAATGTATTTTGTTTTAAAACCAAGATTTATGGGTGGATTCTCCTTTAGCACTACTCCCTCTTTTAAACCTAGAAGATGCAGACTTTTTTCCATCCCTGGACAATGTGGGATGGATGGTGAGTATCTTAAGCATCTCTTGGTAACTCCCAAGGGTCAGTGAGTATCTCAGGCATCCCTGGATAATGCAGATGGTTGGTGGAGTGTTTCTTTACTTTGACTATAACTTGGTGCATTTTCAG